TTATCAAAATATAATTAATTGTTGCCAGAAAAACGTGTCGTTTTTGTATCACGAGAAAAGAGCGATATTTGGAGATATCTAAGTGGATAAAATATTTTTCCCGTTTTACGTATGAAGGTAAATCGGAATTTTCCATTTCTGCCTTACCAAAGTCGAGGAGGAACTTGATTTGTCGACCAAAATCACTCCCATGATGCCAGCCGGAAACACCTTGGAGAAAAAGAATAAAAATAGAAATGGTGAAAATAGAATAGAAAAAAATAGTCGCCTTTTTGCCAGGCGTTGTCAATCGAGAAACCGATAATCGATAATTAACTCTTATCAACCGAGCAGGGGGTCTGTATGGGAGAATCTTGACCAAGGTCGTGAGTACAGACCGAACGCAGTTAGGTGTGTACACACGACCGAGGTCAAGATTCTGCCATACAGACCGACTAAGCTCCGTTAAAGGGGCTAGGTCACAAAATTTTAGGCAATTTCAGCACTGATCAAATGGTCATAGAATTAACTGAAATATCACAAAAACGGCTCAAAACTATAGAAGATCTCAAACAAAACACAGGAAGGAAGGGACATGGATAGACAAAACTGGAGAGGATTAAAATTGATGCATTTGGGTAAATTTGAAAACGTTGTCCCACCTTTTTTCAAATTTATATCAGTTTATATCAAAATGTCATTTACACAGCTGGAAAATCATTTTCAGTTGTTATGTTGCCGTGATTTTACAAATGAAAGACTTTTGCTCTGCCAATTTGACGTTTAGAGCTCATAATTAACAAAATTAAACAAAACTACCTAAGACAGCGTGACCTAGCCCCTTTAAAGTGCACCTAACACCGAAATTTTGTTTCGCTAAAATAATAAAGCTTATTTTGTGGAGTAATTTGCTGCAAAAATTTTTCGATTTGGTGAAATCCTCGAATTTCTGTGCCCCTTCGAAACCGAGTTTCGAATGGTTCGCGACCGCGCATGGGGAATCTGGGGAGAGTTAAAGCTGTGACGTCAAATCCAGAACGAATGCTTCGACTGTCCCAGTCAGGTCTTTTACTTTGTCCGAGTGTAGAAGCCTCTTTGCAGCACAAGTTCTTTCGCTGGGACTCCGCAGTCGACCGATTTCTGTTTTTACTAACAATGTCTTCT